GGGGGGGGAGATGCTGGTGTGTGTTTGCGCTTCATGAGAACTTGAAGAAAAGAGCAAGTGACAAACGGAGTGCAGCAGAGAACCTAATTGGCACTGTTGAACACAAATGTGTAGATTCAAGTGTGTTAACATGTCAGGGAGTCGTATACATCTTCCTCTTGACTGCTCCTGTTTTGTTCGTAGTGTAATTCACAAATCTTGGCAAAAAAAACCAAAACATATTAGATTCATAAAATGCGCACAGACCAATGATTTGATTGGTGGAAGACTAAGAGGGGCTGCCCCCTTGGTGCTTTTGTGTGATTCTTTGTGGAGAAACTTGCAGATCTGTCGATTAAATTGACTAATCAATTAGTCAGAAAGAGTGTTGGTCAACTAAGAACTTCTTTGGTGGAGGACAGTCCCAATAAGAGCAGCCTTGGTGACTGAGAGAGCTCAGTGCACTGCAACTTAAAGCCAAACTGTAGGTTGACATTTTGGGAAATATGCTTCTTCGCTTTCGACAGTTAGAGGAGAAGTTTGACACCGCTCTCATATCCGTTTTTCTAATAAAAAACTACAGCCAGTTAGCTTAGCATAGCATAAAGACTGGAGACAGGTGGAGACAGCCAGCCTCGCTCTGTCCAAAGGCAACAAAGCTCGCCTACTGGCACCTCTAAAGCTCCATAACTAGCACGTTATATCTCTTTAGTTTAAGCTGTACTTTAATCTGCCGTTCCATGGGGGGGGGGGGGCCTTATCATGTTGGCCCCCATTTGCACGTGTCTCGTCTGCAGGTATAGTGTCATCTCTCTACGTGTTAAAACTTAACATCAAAACAATAATGATGAAAGTAAGGATGCACGTGTTGGAGCGTCAATCAGTGCTCTGGAATAATTCACTACCGAGATGGATGAGCGCAGAGCATCCAACACTCCTGGACACGTTGTGCATTGTGTCGTGCTGAAGAGTCGGTGAACGCAGAGAGCTGCCAAAACTGGAGAACATCTCACTCCAGATATCGGGCACCGAGGTCGGCTGTGTGCCAATTCAAATGGGATCTCTGCTGGAAACCGAAGTTATGAGCGTGCCAAAGTGGGTGACCACAGTCTGTTGATTCTCAAGCAAATCACCGGGGTGTTTTTTTTCCATTTTGTAAAGCTGAACCATTTTGAAAATAATGGAAAGTGGTGCATAATTGATTAGTTTATACTTACCCAGTGTCAGTTTATTCCTCCTTCATGGCCTAGAAAGCACCAAAAAACGGTACGAAAGAGGTGTAGTCAGGACCACTCGTATTAATGTTGTTCTTATCTAAAGATTAGATCTGTGTGCACAAACATTTAAACAAATAGGACTTATTGATTACATGATATTTGTGTCCAGCCGATCAATACTACATGAGTTTAACGATATCACATTGTGCCACTTGATTTGTAAAATGTTTCGCAGTCACAGTGAGCACTGCTCTATCTACAGTAGGATCATTGGGTTATTTACCCGCATTCATGAAAAACCTTTGTCACCACGCTGCAGGTCTGTAGTTAATAAATGGTTTAATATATATTTACAAAATATTTGGAGAGCAAACAAATAATCTGGAGGCTATTATTAAATGAAGGTTCTGCTTTCAAATTAAAAAATGCTAATTGTTGGTGCCAGGAGAGGCTGTTTATCTAAAGACCTGTTCAGTGGATCATTACTATGCCAATCACATTTGCACATTTTATTAGTGATTACACTGAAACTAAATTGACCCTGAACTGGCTCAAGCAGAGCATGAGTGCTTCAATAGTCTGTCCTCCTAAAGTACATACTTTACCTTTTTTTTTTTTAAAGTGGGACAACAATTAATCACGGATGCCTAAATTAGATCAAATCATTTTTTTAACCGCATTGAAATATCCCGTTGGACATTCGGGCGTTTGACTCTGATCACAGCGATGTGCTCGTACTGTGATGTTGTGAGTTCAGCCTGTCCCAGGCTCTCTGGAAGCGTGCCCTTCTCTGTCCCAGTGACAGATTTCCCCGTGTGAAGTATTTATTTAGCCGGAGGAAGTGCTGCCATCTGCTCTGCAGAGGGGTCCAGAGCTCCACATGCTACCTTCGCAAACACTCGCTCACACTTTTTCCTCTCTCAAGGACACTCGTGCATATAGAAATACACCTTGTGCATACTAAGCATGTGCTAGTAGATCGCAGAGAAAATGGATTGGGTTCCTTTACCTTACGTCTCCCTAAAAATAGCCTGTGTGATTTAGCACGAGGAATTGGAAAAAAAAAAACTCTTCGTTTGTCTTCTCTACTCGCTTTGATTTGTTGCACTTTTTCATTATCCCTTTCCAGCTTTGATTTTGTGAATATTAAACCTTCCATTCATCTCTTTAGCGCTCCATCATTGTCTTTCACTGCTTTAGCCTGTGCTCGCTCAAACGTTCCTTCATTGTTTGAATGCAGATAGAATTCTAAATGAAACGAGACGCTTAAAGTGTCTTCCTTCAAGACTGCATGGTGGCTTATCATATTTATCTTCCCTGGTTGCAGAGAGTAGGCCCTTTGTCAGAATTTGTCAGTTTGTGTCCACTTTAATCTCACAGGTTATCAATAAACGTGCAATATAAGGGATTCAATGCATTAATATACAGTAGCAGCAAACAACTACTTACTGTTGACAAAGAAACAAATAAACTACAAAGATGGAGTGATCTCTACCTGAGCAGAGACTGATTAGAGCTTCTCCTGGCTTTGTTGACATAGCCGGGCCGTCCGGACTTGATTTTAGTGCACGTGAGCGTGCAACACTGGCAAGCCAATCTTGTGTCAAGGTTTCCATGATCATTAATTGTCATCATGCAACACAGGCATTCACAACAAAATGCTGTTTTAGCCAATTTGCTACACAATAAAAATAAAAACACAAAACAAAACAATTTTTTTTTGCATTTTTTAAATTTGCATCAGGAGGAACGCAAACAGCAGCAACAAACCAATTATCCCGCCCTAAAGCATTATGGTCTATTTGACTTTAAATGGGGCCATCATTTACTAAATGAACATCAAGACTTGAAACTAGAGATTGAGACCATAACCTCATGTTCACAATGTTTACTGAGGTAATAAATCAAGAGAGAAGTAGAGTCATTTTCTCATAGACTTCTATACAATCAGACTTGTTTTTGCAACCAGAGGAGTCGCCCCCTGCTGGTCAGGAGAGAGAATGCAAGTTTTAAGACACTTCTGCATCGGCTTCACTCGGCGCCTGGAAAAAAAGAGGCAGGGAACTTCAACATATAACATGAAACAAACTAAACTAAGTTAATGACAATAGGTCAATTAAGTCAAAAAAGCAAATTAAAAATCACCTTTAAATTTAGAATACTTTTACATTACAGTTTTCCTCTCAGCTCAGTCCTTATTTTGGCCAAAAGCCACACATGTATCCTTTTATACTCGCTTCCTTTGAGATCAATCTCCACCTTTAGAATAACCTGTAGGTTCTCGCTCAGGGGCACCTTTAATCCCAGCCATGTTAACACCTATTTTCCCTGATTGGCCCACAAATGTCTTGGGAACTGTTGGAAAACTCTGTGTCTGTGTGAGTGCGAGCGGTACAGAGGTTAAGTATGAGTATAGCCTCCGCCTGGTGAAGGGAGGTCCCGGCAGTCAGCGGGGGAGTCAAGACGCTCAGTGCGACTGGTCTCACATGTCAAAGACAGCAGCCAGCCTTAATTAGTCCAGCAACTCTGCAGAGGGCGGCACCGCATTAATTAGCATAAAACGGCCGGAGGGACCTGCTGCACCCGTCGAGCTTGCATCACTTAGCATATTTAGCATTCCTTCAAGTGTGTGTGTGTGGGTGGGTGTGTGTGTGTGTGTGTGTGTGGGTGGAGGAATGTTTTGGTTTCGCTATGAGCGCTTGCTATGTGTTGTACAAAGTGTAATCCACGCAGGTGTGGTGTGTGTGACGTGTATGGTAATGTGTATGGAAATATTTTTTATCTTGTGTCTGAATGACTGGAGCTCTTCTTCTGCTGCTTATTACTTATTTATTCAGCGTTATTTGCTTTCTCGAGCACGTTGAGAGGAGACATGAGCTCAGCAATGACAGCATAAAGGCAAACGCTTAACTTGAGTGAGCTTGACATACAGTCAGAACAAGAAAAACGTCAAGAGCAGTTCAGCTTCTTCAGATCCCCGTACCGTACGGCTGAATTATGGGCAGAATGCTTAGTGGAGCCTGCAATTTAGAAGATCCGGTTTGTAATGTGAACTGTGAAAACAGGAGATTTTTTATGCATTTATCCACCAAGACTTTAAGATTTCGAATGAATGCTAATAACAGTATACACCCACAGTAAAATGTAAGAAACTGAAACACTGAGGTACAGGCTTGAAGGATTAACCACAAAGGCTTTCGGCAAACAGCGAATTAGGATTCCGGCTAAATTAAACCACTAATGTAATCTCAATATTAATTAGTGATTATGAACGTTATTGTAATGTAACCTTGGAAAACATTTGAACACAGTCTTCCGACTGCTCATTTAAATATACCTGCAGTGTGTGTACGCAGTATAATGTGTACACACAAACACTCAAAAATACTCTCTTTTTTTCCAAGACTGTTCCCCGCGGTACATGTTTTATTTCACAGGGAAAATCTTCTTCCTTTAGAAATGGCACATAGTTGTGCACCACCATATGCCATGCAGCATGTTTTGGTTGTATAGTGTAAATAATAATGCTGGCAATATTCTATGTGATTGATGTTGCCAACAAATCCCATGAAAAGATCAAAACTAACAACGTGTTAGTGTGTCTGCCGATACATTTACGACTTCCAAAGCCTGTCTCTGGCCCCATCCCCATTCATTCCATTCATGACTGTTTTAAACAGCAGGGCATTGTAGTACATTTCTCAGAATAGAAGAAATAGTGCATTTATGTCAAAATAAACTGCAGTCCCCAATATTTGAGAATGCTTGTTATGAGGTAAATTCAGTGTTGCTTTTGGTATTTCCGTTTGGATTTATTATCAATAAGAAACACAAATAATATCATTGGACTTATCCTTTAACCCCTTAGTTACAGGATTTAGAGTTTTTTTGGTGCCGAAGGAGTCTGGACTACATCATTTTGACTCACCTGTGCTGTGTTTTGTTCGTGCAGGTCAGATCTCGGTGGAAGGCTTTGCCAGGTATCTGAATGGGGAGGAGAACAGCATCATGCCCCCTGAGAAGCTGGACCAGAGCGAAGACATGACCCTTCCCCTCCCCCACTATTTCATCAACTCCTCACACAACACATACCTCACAGGTACGCTCACATATACTCGACCCCATTTTTACTGACTGATTGCACTCGTGCATCATTTATTCTTCTACACATGGACGGATCACTCGTTCATTTAGAAATATCATTTTGGTTTCTTAAGTGAATACCCCCGACTTCATGCCTCGCAGGTCAGTCAATCAAACGCGCCTGTGCACATCAGGCCCGCTTTTCTTGTGTTACCTCTCTAGAGGTTATCCAATCAAGTCATGCCATGATACTCAATTCATTGATATTCATGAGTTAAATATTTCTTTGGACTTGGTAGTCACAGTAACTGGCTCCTGCACAAGCATGGCAGGCTTTATGCAGAGGCCATTTTCTCCTCAATGGATATTAGAATTCATCTATTCAAATCTATTCTGAGGGGAACTGCAGAGCATTGAATCTTTCAAGTGGATCAAATTTCTACAGCGAGGGAAAAAATTGAATTTTTGTAACAGGGCGGACTCGTGGCCTGCGAAATGAAGAAATGAGAAAAACAAACAACAGGTCCTTGATTCTCTCCTCACAAACACAGTTTTTCATTATGTATTTTGATAGGGAAATTGTGTTATTATTATCATAGGTAGGTACGGCAATACAGAATCCATTTCTGTCCTTGCAGTGTTTGTGTACAACTTTATAATAAAGATCCCCACAACATAATGAGACTGACAGCAGCTTGTGCTGATGTATTTCCATCCTGCTAACTTAAAGCAATGTTTTATGCAGTGAACAACACACGACCTCAGTTAGTAAAGAATGTGTTTGCCCCGAGGGGTTTGGACAAGGTTGTCTATCAAAAGAAGAGAAAGAACGAGTGAGAGGAAAAATGTAGGAAAGGACTGAAAAAATAAAATGGCGGGAATGATTGATGCCAGATGAAGTGAGAACACAGATCTGCCTCTCACGTTGACGAAGTCCCAGCCGCGCTGCAGGAAAAGCATGCTGCTAATGTGAAGAGATAATTGCTTCGCTAATGGTGACAGGGTGACGATGAGATTTGCCTGCTTCAGATAATTCCAGTTGTATTGTTTCTACTGTATGCTAGCAGGTGATGCGGTTAATGAGCTCTTGAAAGGGGGAGGGGGGGGGGGTTCTGTAGGCGTCCTGGTTCTTTAGGGATCAATAGAACATTTACCTGAAGTGCTGTGTTTATGTGTGTTCGCTCGCTTACGTGCGGAGTGCAGCCGGCCAGCTCGCAGGGAACTCTTCAGTCGAGATGTACAAGCAGGTCCTCCTGTCCGGGTGCCGCTGCATTGAACTGGACTGCTGGAAGGGTCGCACCACAGAAGAAGAGCCGGTCATCACTCACGGCTTCACCATGACAACTGAAATCTCCTTCAAGGTAACACAAGGAGAGCAGATTAATCTGCACATTTTAATGTCTTTCGCTACAGATGGAGAGGGGGCTTCTGGGTAAAGAGGATGGACGGATGCTGTAATCCACATGTTGTACACATGATCCACTTACTGCATTTAATACTGATCCATATTTGTGTTGGGCCAACACCCACAACTTTCTGTGTTTTACTTCATTTGTGGTTTTAGATATTTTAGAATTAAAATAGGTTGCATCTTTATTTCCTGTTGATTACATTTTATATCAATTATTTTTCCTCGTAGTGCAAACTTTAAGGTTACATGCAAGTGTGTTGGCAGCCACCTATGTGAACATCTGCATCTTCAAACATGGAATCTTTATACTGTAGATGGTTAACTTTCTGTATTGAAATTGTAATGCTATTTATTTGTTGACACCATAACAGCAAGTGCAGTTAAATACTACAGCCAACACTCCTCGAGAAGCTACTTTTTGTCATAAATACAAAAGAAGAACAAGTGATGTATCCGTTTACTATTAAAACTCACATTGTTTTAATAATAATAATCAGCCATTAATAATTGCAACAGGGATCTGACTTCATGCTGCAGGCGGGGCAAATAGTTTTCCACGTAACAGCATGGCATAGCAGAGTGAAGCCCGTCACCTTCATCTCTCTTCACCTTCAACTCTTCATCTAACAGCTTAAGCGGCTGTTCCTTCTTGTTCTATTACTCCTGTGCCAAAATGAAAATATCATTATCAGTAACCGCTTCCAGCAGGGCTGCCCAAACTTTTTCCCCCAAAGGTGGCCAAAACATAAGCTTAATGGTGAGCCAGAGTCCCACCTTTTATGTATTAAGTTTACAGAATTGAAATGCCTTTTTGTTTCTGCCACACTGACTTCCTGCACAAAGTGTCAGTCTGCCTCAGTTTACGATAAATAATTAACAGCTACATATTTAAAGAGCATCTTTACCTCCCAAAAAATTAAAACAGCATAAAAAATGATTTATATTGTAATTATTATTTTTTTAGCTMGAAACATCTGACGGACTAAACCTTATTGGGGGCCGACTTTGGCCTGAACCGMTCACTTTTCATTCCAGAGTCATGGCAGTGTCGAGCCGATCCCAGCTGACAAAAAAAAACACGCTGAAAATGAAACACGTTGACGTTTTTTACCAACTGCTGTGACAAACACATGGCATTTAGTGTGACTGCTTCACTAAAACAAGCCGACCCGTGTCACTTGTTGAACACCTTTATTGTGAAGCAGTGATAGTAGGAAATGTTCCCTTTGCATGAGCAGTAACTTAATACAGCTCTGACACAATGTAAAAAGAATTATCAATGAGATAGCATAGCGCTGGATTACATGCAAGCATCTGTGAATGTAAATACAGTGGGGTTTTTTTTAATTGTGGAATAAGCGCTCACCATAACTAGTATCAAAAATGGAGTTTGAGTTCATGAACATTTGAAGGATTCAAGCTTAAATATGTAAACACAGACCGATTCAGAGGCAGACACTGAAGATGAAAGTAAGAATGGGGAAAGCAAAGCTGGATACAAATTGGGATGAACCAAAAGTGGGTCATGTTTTCAGCAGATGGCAAATCGTAAAGGACAGGGACTCACTGAAGGGCCCAAAACAAAGTGCTGAGGGGCGCTTAATAGAAGTCCCAGGAGATGAGGAGAAAAAGAGAGAAAAATGCATTCCTAGCAGGAGGAAAGTGTGAAAATCTAAGGGCAGAGGAGGTGTGAGGAGGGAAAAGAAAGAACGAGGTGGGTGGATTGATTGATGTTCTAATGAGAGTAACAAAAGAAGTAGAACTAGCTTAATGGAATTACCCTGAGAGTGAGATGCAAAAAGAGTTTTGAGTCCTAGACGATGGAAGAGAGCTACAGATGGAGCGGGCTGATTTTAACTGGAGGAGACGGAGCGAATGGAAATGAATGCATTAACTGAACTGACACCGTTGTTAATGATGGTGTAATTGACTTAGACAATCAGCGGCTCAGAAACCCGATATCAGATGTTGAGCTTGTCTCCGCCGGAGTCGAGCAGTGACACCGCTTCACGGCTCGGCTCCCGTTATCCACGCTGAAGGTTTTGCGTGACGTGAATGGCTGAGCACATCGAAATTTGCGATAAACTGAACCGGATTTCCTTTCACATTATTAACCAGAAAGAGAACCGCAGTGTTAACATCCTGCACACACATACAGTGAGACGCACGTATGATTCCTCCAGCATCAGCAGCCGCGACGCACCACGCAGCCAGATAACATGTTGCATTTGGAGGAAGGCGGAGTGTAATTTATTACTATCTTATCACTCTTGCTCTCTTCTTGATGTCAAAAGGTTTGGGCGTATTCTCTGGGGTAAAGCCATTCTAGGAAATAAAAAGGAAACCATATCATTGTAAAGGGATGTGATTCTGGAGAGAGTTTTACAAATGCTTTATTTTATCCATATTATCACATAAACTAACTGACATTCATTGTTTTTGATGCACATTACATTACTCAAATAACAATAACAACATTCTGCCCTTAGGAGTGTGTGTATTCCACATACTTTATAGATATATTATCAATTCTTCTTCTTTTGTGTTTTTTAGGAGGTGATCGAGGCGATATCAGAGTGTGCCTTCAAGACCTCGCCCTTCCCTATCATCCTGTCTTTTGAGAACCACGTGGACTCGTAAGTACACAGGACGAGTGTCGACCTCGTTGATCAGCACTGTCTGTCATTGGATGGGTCAACATCGATAGGCGCCGAGCAGCCATTTTGTGTGCATCAGCTGCGTAAACATCTCTTGGGGAGAAAGCTCTCATTGGTTGTCCTGTCCTCTAATGGCTCCAAGGGGCTTCTTAGGAGTAACATTCAGTGTGTTTTGTTATTCAGTAGACAAACCATGATGGTGTGTGTGTGTGTGTGTGTGTGTGTGTGTTTCCATCTGTGATGACTCCCAGACCGAAGCAGCAGGCTAAGATGGCAGAGTACTGCCGGTCAATATTCGGAGACGCGCTACTGACTGAACCTCTGGAGAAATATCCTGTAAGTACACAAGATGCTCCAACACACATTTGCTCACACATACATCCACACTTGCGGGGTCTCTCTCTCTCTCTCTCTCTCTCTCTCTCTCCCTCTTACACGCACACACGGATGCATGCGACATGGCCAGCAGTGAGGATATTCACCGGATGTTATCACACAGATGAGTGCACCGAAAGACGTGTCCTTGAACACCGCTGCCCGGCATGCTACACGTGTACATTCAGGGGCCTCGACATATATGTTCATTCCTTTGCTCGCATACTACTGCTCTTTCCCTTTATTTGTGTCCTCTCTCCCTCTGCATCTGTCTCACAGACAGCAACATATCGACATGTCCTCCAGCACCTGGCACAATGTGTTGCTGCTGTCCTTCCTCTGTCTGTCGCTGCTGGCACGCTACAAGTTGGCCTTTTGGACTTTACCTCTCTCTCTCTCTCTCTCTCTCTCTCTCTCTCTCTCTCTCTCTCTCCAGTTTTCATTCTCATTTTCAGTCACACACACACACACACACACACACACACATACATACCTGTGGCTATTTACGTGCCACGGAAGCCAACTTTTAGTTCGTCACCCGGCATTCATTGTTATTCCCCTGCTTGTTATCGCGGGAGAGACCGCAGACGACAGCCGTGCAGGATGGAATGGAAGTGTTTTACGCCGTAATCCTAACGCGGCTTTTCTCTTGGCAGCCACCTATCTGTCTCTCCTCTGTTGCCATGGCTACCAGTCAAAAGCTTGCTTTGTCTCTTTGTGGCCAAACTCTTTTTTTTTTTTTTTTTTTCCCACAGGCGTCTTTGTGTGTAATGACGCAGGCACTTTTGGTGAGGCAAATGTTAGACACTTGTCGCACAAACTCTCGAGCGCGTGCGCTAATCTCGTAGTGTCTGGGGAAGCACGCATGAAAACGCGGCACATGGACAATTTTGCACACACGTGTGCTTTAACATACCCCCTTTGCACGTTACTCGCCCGGGATGCCTTGTCCCTGTTGATATAACACTGTGGAGCAGCTTAAGTTCCCAGCAGGCTTCTGACTGGATTTTGACACTGTAGTATTATCTGGGGGAAGCCTTTCGAATGGAGTGGCTGAGGAAAGAAGGAGCGAGATATGAGGAGAAAGACACTGAGGGAGAGTCAGAGAGAGAGAGAGAGAGTCAGAGAGAGAGAGAGAGAAAGAGCTGTTGAGGAATCAGATTTCTACCACTGAGCATGTAATAACTGGGAAAGGTGAGTGCAATGACAACCACTCCCCTCTGGCATTGAGACCGGCGTGTGTTCAGCGTATCAAATGGGATATCAGCTCCGTTAGTCCATCGGGGCAGATAGGGTAATATAGCTCGATTGGTTTCGGCTTAGCTGTAGGTGAGAATAAAGAGGATTACAGCTTTCTGAGAAATTCAAGCTCCCCCCCATTTATCTGCTCTCCACAAAACTGTCATTCGTGGTGAATAGGAGAGAGTATTTGTTTGTTTTTTTCAATTAAACTGAGAACAGTCTGCTCTTTCCACAAAAAAAAAATTGCTGAAATTACTTAAAAATTGGATTCACCGTGAACATATTTCCTCGTTTGTTATATGGCTCTCATCACTGCATTCATTATGTTGATGACAGCTGTATGGCCAAAACAGATTCATTATAACTGCTGAAAAAAAAAAAAGAAATATGTTCAGAAATAAAGCTATTTGTCTTGCAGTTTTGTTGAGGCTTAGTTTTAAGGTGCAGACGTACCAGAACTGGCAAGACGAGATGTACTCGCACGCAGAAAGCAGGCGGGATTGAGAATAATGTGGGCACAAGAGGAAGCATGAGATGCTGCAGCTAGCGTAGCTAGCAGGACAACAACCTTCCACACGTTTGGGATGATACACCTTTAATTAAAAGTCTTCTACTTATATTATAACATGCAATTATTCAAACAAGAAGATTAACAACACTTACAGGGTTCAACAACAATGTTTGTTTTCACTTTCTCAATCTCAATTTTTACTTGCCAGGTTATCAAATAACAGCAAAGACTAAAGTTAATTGCCATGTTTAATCTTTATTTAAGTAAATTAATCTTTAGTTTTGCCCACATTCTCTCACGCCACCCAATTAAACTCCTGTTTACAGGATACTTGAAATGCTCAACTCATCAACTCCGAAAGAAATTATGTGTTTCATTATTTTTTACCACTTGAGTTGCTAGATTTACAAGCCCGGCGTTGCATTTTACTCGCTCCAGGCAATCCTTATTATTGAGCCCTGTAATTCCAAATGGAAAGGTCTGTGCTGTCTGGGCTTTGCAATGATACACAGGTTCAAGTTTCCATAAAAGTGAACCATGACCTGACGGGTCTGCTGGAGGCGGCCAGAAACAATCAGAGGATGCACAACCAGCTGAAACACAAAGACGATTAAAGATCTGTTACATAAAAGTACTATTACTTGTAAATAAATAGGCATTCGTAGCATTACCTCAACGTAAAAATAGGAAAAGTTCTGCATTCAAAATGAAACCAGGAGAATTCAGAATTATTATTGGCAAAATGTAATTGTAGTATCAAAAGTAAAAGTACAAATTTAGCAGAAAATGACTCCTGTGAGTGTTATATCATTATATATTGTATTATTGAATCATTATGACTTTTACTGTCCTAGTTGGAGCCAATTAACTGCATTTATGCCACACAAATACACAAATCTAATAAGAAAAGCTGTGACATAGATTTAGTGGCATAAAGTAGAAAATACTCAAAACTGAAGTACAGTACTTGATTGAACTTAGTTACATTCCACCACTTGCCAGATGTGTGTTTAAGCATTATCCGCTCTGTCGATGGCCTCTCTTCACTCCCTTTGTACAGCTGAGCAGAAAAGACCTCTGGGGATTTGGGGAGCTTAATTGAATCCATCCAAGTAAATTGTAGTTCAGTCAAACAGGTTTAGCGCTGTGCAGTCAAGATTACGTGCCACAGCCAGCGTTGAACCGGTTCCATTTAAGAGGAACAGTTTGAGTGAAGCCATGGCAAACAGGACGTCTATCGTCATGTTTTATCACTTCCCAACCACCGCAGTAGAAAGCTGTAGATGGACGTGTGCGGCTGCTGGGAAAGTGGCTTAAGTTTGATCACTGTTACAACTGAGAAGTAAAAAAATAAAGTTTTGTTCACAGTTGTAAACTCCGTTGGCTGTGAACTGATGTGTGTGTGTGTGTGTGTGTGTGTGTGTATGCAACATCACATAATGCATTATTAATATCTCTAAACACTGTGATCCCAAAGCAGTGTTCCCCATAAATAAATCAGAGATCTTCCTACTTCTTGCCAGCTCCCTTGAGAGGGCGAATGTTTGGGTTTAACGCCCAGGAAGCTGGTTTTAGTGTTGAAAGTGTAAACTTTTGAGCTGTTACATCAACAGATTTTGTAATGCTCGGGGACAATCCTCGCGGTCACTAACAAGCTCTGCTCAGCAGAATCTTCCTCCAAACATTTTGAACAGAATGAGATTTTTTTTTTGTTGTTTTTAATTGCCATGAATTTACAATGTGAATGAGTCATTCGAGTAAACAACTGTAGTATTTCCTTCCTGTAATTAGCTAATTTGTCTCCAAACTGTTCTAATATAGGGCTGTGATTGAGCAATCCTCATTTGTATTAGAATGTTTCTTGCATTGAAACATTTGTCAGAGCGCTTGTCACCAAAACAAATCCCACATTTCCCTGTCCCTCCATCCAGATCATACAAACATACAAAGCTTAATTTTATCCTCATGAACTCCCTCTGTCTTTCTTTATTTAGATGACCGTATTATCATTTTTAATGACCTCTCTGTGTCTGCCGCTTTCTTCCCCCCGAGCAGCTGGAGTCCGGCGTGCCTCTACCGAGCCCGATGGAGCTGATGGGGAAGATCCTGGTGAAGAACAAGAAGAAACACCACAAGACGGACGGAAGCACCAAGAAGAAGCTGTCGGAGCAGGTTTCCAACACCTACAGCGATTCCTCCAGTGTGTGTGAGCCCTCCTCCCCCAGCGCAGGTACTGCACGCACACAAACAGAGCCATCAAGTCTCACAGGGGCCGTTGAGTTATGGTGTTTCAGATGTAAAAAAGCAGCCTGACCATCTGTCCATCCGTAATACGGGCCAGCACCTCCATCCTGTCCAGAAACCGAATCTCTGGAGCGAAACAGTGCTATTGTTTATCATTCATCATTTTCATGGCCCTCTCCATCAGCTGACGGTATTATTGGCTGCTGCATTCACTGCCTGTCAGGCGCATTCACTGCCGGTCGCTGGGGCATCTTAAACACCATCTAGCAGTGTCCAGTAGAACTTTTATACATCTCAATATATGGATTTTTATATATTTTCACAGCTACTCTCTGGTTTTAGTTTCCCTTAATCGTTCATGTCTGTATTGTTGCTGGCTACACTTCATATGTGTCCTTTCTGTGTGTGTGTGTGTGTGTGTGTGTGTGTGTGTGTGTGTGTGTGTGTGTGTGTGTGTGTGTGTGTGTACATGCATGCTTCTTCTTTTGTATTTTATATTTCCCAGTATTGATTCATGCAGTTGTAAATTATTGCAATCAATCACCTTTAGTTTTGTTTGGGGAGCTGAGCCGCAAGCTTCATTGTTACTCTGACACACACTGCCCCCTGGTGTCAGTAAATAAGCAGCACGAGTGTTTCGACCCCTTTTTAACTGGTGTGCATTGAGACAGTCGCCCATCGGTGGAGTAGGTTTGCGTTCAGAAGTGGGGCACAATGACATCTGTAGCTTTTCAAAACTATTTATTTACATACATTATAGTAACCTAGAAAATGATGCATTCATTTAAAAAAAGTCTTTGTGTCTTCCACAAGAAAGATGGCCTGAATTTCTGTATTATTAATGCACTAAACTTGAGGTTTTATTGATATTTTTGATACAGCTTAACAGTTTAATGATGTGAGGTATTTCAGTATGAAGGACGTATGAGTGTGTCAGTATGGACTCCTCTCTTCTTCCCTCATCTGAATTGTGTCGGCTGGCTAATAACAGATCATTGCTTTAATAGATTTTATTAGAAGTTAATAAAATAAATAGAATTTTGAAAAGTGTGGAGGGCATTCACTTGTTGTTCATTTACAGTCTTTTGATGTTTCCTGGTTATGAAGCACTTTGGTTAATTACGATTCATGTACAGTAATTAATTATAATTAAATACAGCATGCACAGTCACATGACACACTGTGCTGCGTGACAGTAGACTAAATGCTAACAGAGGCTTTAGTTTGACCTATAGGGTTGTAGGATGCGTGTTTGTTGCTGATGACTGGTTCTTCCTCACAGGCTCAACCAAAGAGGAGATGGCAGATTCCTCGCAGCAGCCGGAGTGTGCCGAGCTCAGCCTGAGGCCGCAGGGCAGAAAGTCTATCGGTGAGTCACACATAGTACATGACCTCAGATTCTGCAGGAGAGCTGTAGCAGAGCTCTCATAGAGACGCTGGGGGTCAGTTCGGCCATTACTCTGCTAAAATGAATCTCCTCAGTCGGTGGGACCTCAGATTCAGTGGGAAATCGCTGGTAGATCTCTCATTATGTGGGCGCAGGGGGATGGGTCAGCTCAACCAAAACAATATCACCCTGAGCTCGGTGGCTTGGGACCAGTCCGTGTAAAATGCGTTCATGTTCTTGCTGTAGATGTAATGGAGGAAACTGATCCCAGAGTAAGACATGCTCAATAGTCTGTCCAACATTTTTTGCATTGAGTATGTGGAAATGTTAATTTGGCTCATTACGCTTTAATTATCGTGTCTTATCTGTGGCCATATTTGTGACTCGTGTTTCAGGTGAGGTGGAGGCAGAAAGTGAGGATGAAGATGATGATGATGACGACTGTAAGAAGGGCTCAATGGATGAGGTGCGTATTTTGAAAGTGACACTCAGCAGTCAGTTTAAATACTAGTTATAATGGAGATTTACAGCTCAGTGTGCAGTACTTGCCTCCCATGAGCTGATACTGCCCTCTAGTGTACATATTTGGTACTGCATTTTATTTCTGCTGATGCGTCTCCAAAGTCTTGAATCATAGGGCTCTTTTGAAATCTCTTAATTGCATTTTTTCACAAGTTTATAAGCATTTTTTCATGTACAGGGAACAGCAGGCAGTGAGGCGTTTGCCACAGAGGAGATGTCCAACCTGGTCACCTACATCCAGCCAGTCAAGTTCAACAGCTTCGAGGCTTCCAAAAGTATGTAAGACTTAGCTGAAGACATGTGTTTGCAAAATGAACATGCTTAATATCTTTGTTAGTAATATTGGAAAACAACCTTTTAAACGTAAATGGCAACTCCGCACATCAGCGCCGTAGAAATGAAGTCTTCAATCTCCGCCCACAGAGATCAATCGCAGCTACCAGATGTCGTCCTTCGTGGAGACCAAAGCTTTGGAGCAGCTGACCAAATCTCCTGTGGAGTTTGTGGAGTATCCTTCTGAGTTTTACTGAAGCAGTGGTTTGTGCTACTAAATATACTCGCAGTGTTTGAATGTTATCTGCGTTCACGTTTAAATTCTGCAGTGCACGTACTGCATTACTTCTTATTGTATTCCTTATGTCAGTCTGCGCTTCATCACTCCACTCATATAGTTCATCTTGTCCGAAAAGACATCTTTATTGTCCACTTGCAGAGAACTTTGTCTTTGGCTTCACAGACATACGTACACTGAAGAACTCTGTCTGCCGAGAGTTAGAATACCTGAGATATATAAAAAAAAAACAATAAATGAATAATAAGTGTGCCGAAGGGTTGGGATGAAAGTGCTAAAATGTTAAAAATTTATTTGCCATTTGTTTAGTAAGGTGACAGATAATGTAATAAAAGATCCGTTGATGTTTTTTTTAATTCATTAATCAAATAAACTGTTAGTGTACAGCTCCACCAGCTGTCTCCGTATAGTCTTGCTGGCAGGGTTTTTTTTGTGAGCTTGCTTTTGCTCCGAGCCCCTAAATTTCTGCACCGGCATGTGTTGTTCTCAGGACTTCTTCGCTCACGTCAAAGCTATTTCGTTTCTTAAACACGTGTGTTCATTAAGATTTAAGTTGGTGTCTCAAATCATTTCTAAATATATAAAACGACCTACTCTCTCTACAGCTGCGTCCTCAGTTGTAATTGGTCGGCACGTTGGCCGTTGCCAACCCTTATATTTGACAACGAGTTCCTCGGTCCTGTTAGTCTTTACGAGCGAAACTCTCTCGTGACACCATGTCAATAGATTGCTGATGAGATTAATGTACGAACGCTCTAATTCATCATTACCCTTGAACATTTCCATGTCATCTGCATACTTAAAGAGACGCAGATGACATAACAGTGGTGGGTTTAATGGTCGAGGGTAATGATGAATTAGAGCGTTTCTAACAGGAAAGTGTTAGTAATTCTAGTTTTACAGTTGTAATACAAGTAGAGGTAGAAGAAGAAAAATAATTTACTTTGTCAAATCTGATTGGTTGAGTCTTTGATTCATCCCCTTCTGTTCAATTTGGAATATCCATTTTATTATTTATGAATGATCTTTTATTTCACCACCACATTTTCACATCACTGCGACGCTTCGATTGAGAGATTGTCAGTCGAATCAGGCTCCTTAGATCAAATAGTCGACTATTCAGAAGTAATTAGTAGTTAGTAGTAGTCACAGTACCAGCTGTGCTTTATAACGCAGGTCGTGCAGCGTTTTCCTCAACCAGCTCCGTTCAGGTACAACAAAGTGCAGCTGAGCAGGATCTACCCTAAAGGCACCCGAGTGGATTCATCCAACTACAACCCTCAACTCTTCTGGAACGCCGGCTGTCAGCTGGTGGCTCTCAACTTCCAAACCATCGGTGAGTTTAATCGTGTAAATCCTTTATTCCCTCACACCTTCATTATTTCAATGCATGATAAGTAGATAATAATAAATAATGCGTTTTAAAGTTTGTTTTATTTCAGTGTTGACGACTCACCTAAATAAACTTTTGTGATTCTGTCCTCACTCCATAGATCTGTCCATGCAGTTGAACCTGGGCATGTACGAATACAATGGGAAATGTGGCTTCAGACTCAAACCTGAGTTTATGAGGCGGCCGGACAAACACTTTGACCCTTTCACTGAGAGCACAGTGGACGGGATAGTAGCCAACACGCTCTCTGTAAAGGTGTGTGTGTGTGTGTGTGTGTGTGTGCGTGTTGGTCTTTTTTGTGTCTCTCTCTATGCGCTCTCTCTCTCTCTCTCTCTCTCTCTCTCTCTCTCTCTCTCTCTCTCTCTCTCT